TGGTTAGGGCCAATCAAAACACAATGTTTCTAGTGGGGTTGTTGGTGACATCACTCTTGTCGTTGATCATGAACCATGACACTTGGCTTGCAGGCTCGTAACTTGGGCCATCGACTTCTTAACAATGCCTCTCCCACTTTTGCGTCAGAGGTGATGTCCCCGGGTCATTTGTCCAATGATGCCTCTAGGGTTGTTGGAAGACACCACCCCCGTTGTTAAAGTAATTATGAGCTCTTCACAGGCATGATAGCCACCGATTTTCCAACAATGCCTCTGCCCTCTTATGCATTACAGATGATGTGGTTGATTTTTGTGCTCAACAACCCCACCACCAGAGTTGGCCCTGTTATGGGTGTAGTTGAATTGTGCGCCTAATGACGCCAGCACTAGAGTTGGTGTTGCCAATGGTATAAGCCAATTATGTGTTCAACGACCCCACCACCAGAGTTGGCATTGCCAGGGGCATAGTTGAATTGTGTGCCCAACAACCCCACCACCAGAGTTGGCCAGAGTTGGCGCTATCAGTGGGGTAGTTGAACGTCTATATGGTAGTTTCTAACGGTTTAGTGCTTCACAATGAATTTTGAAGTAAGGGTTCAAGTTCAGAGATAGTGGTTTCTAGGGTTCGTGGTTTAGAGCTCAAGATGGATGTCCTAGAATTACATGGTTTCCTATAGTTCTTTCAATCGAGATTGGGATGTCTACAACTGTAGGTGGCATTTCTTGAACAGGTTACTTACCGTGCTCCATGTCACTCGGAACTAGTATGTCAAACTCCTGGGACCCATCATCTTGTTTCACTTCTCTATCGCCTTCATGCACCATGGTAGGAGGAACTATGATCGGTTCTCAACCATTGAAGACTCGTGGCTTTTTTGATTTCTTCACGTCTCCAATGATAAGGTCTTTCTGAAATACCACATCCGTACTCCTGATCACCTTCTTGTTCTTAGGATCCCATAGCCTGTAGCCGAATTCTTCATCTGATTACCCTAGTAAGATGCATAAGAGTGTTTTTTCATCCAACTTGGATCGTTGTTCCTTGGGCATGTGCACCAAGGACTTGCACCTGAACACCCTCAAATGCAAATAAGAGATATATTTTTCGATCAAAACTCTATCTGGGATTTCACCATTCCAACAAGAATCTATTTTTTAGGTAGCATATAGTGAGGGTCGCTTCACCCCAATACGTCTTTGGTAACTTGGCTCTGGATAGAATACTCGTAACTCTCTCCATAATGGTGTGATTCATTCTCTTTATTACACCATTATGCTAAGGGTATATGACACTGTATTTTTGTGCCTTACACCACACATGATACAATAACCTTTAAAAGCATTCGAAGTGTACTTACCCCTATGGGCAGATCTAAGAGACTTTAATAGCTACGTTGTCTCCCTTTCCACCTTAGTATGAAAATTCTGAAAGATCTCAAACAGCTGATCTTTCGATTTCATTAAGTACACCCAAATCTTTTTGACGCATCATCAATGAAGGTAACGAAGTATGATGTGTCATCAAACAACTTGGCATCCATGGGACTACACATATCTAATTACATCAGATTTAGGATTTTCGTATCTTTATGGCCCGTACTGGATAAAGAGACTCTATGTTGTTTGCCTAGCAAATAATGGTCATGTGGGGTTAGAGATGCATTCTTGACCCTGAGAAATATATGATTTTTTGCTAAGAGTTGCATTCCTTTTTCGCTTATGTGGCCGATACACTTGTGCCACAAGTCTAGTGAGGTTTCTTTCATGATGGTATCAACTTTGCTACTAGAGACACCTACCTTTGTTCTATAAAGTGAACAACAATTCTTGCCATTTACTATGATAAGAGATTCTGTTGTCAGCTTCCAATGTCCCTTACTGAACATTGCGTGGTACCCTTCATCATATAAACACTCTCCTAAGATGAGGTTCAGATATATACTTAGTACATGTCCGATGTCCTTCAGCACCAGCTCCATCCCAATATAGGTCTTGATGTGTGCATCTATCATACCCACAATCTTTGACGAACCAATGTTCCCCATCTTTACAAAGCTAGAGTCTCATTCTTTGTACGAAGCAAAATACCGTCTATATAAGGTAACAAGGAATGATGCTTCGGCACCTAGAACCCAATCAGAGTTATATGATCTTGATGTAGTATTTATGCACCTATCACCACAGTTCCTGACCACACCAACATCTGTGGTCACTGCAATGGTTTGCCTGTTATCATCCTTAGGATTGTCTTCATTATGCTCTTTCTTGACCGTCTAACATTATTTCTTGATGTGCCCATTCTTGCCACAATGTGAACCAACATCGATTTAGCTTTATCCTTAGATCAGTTAGATTGGTTTTGGTCCCAATTTTTAGACCTTCCTCGATTTATGACAAGAGTTTACGAGTTCAATATGTCAAAGGCTCTTCTTCTTATTTCCTCATTCAACAGGCTGGTAGTGACTTGACTTGTGGTCACTCTCTCATCAGGAGCTGAGTTACTTGTGAAGACTACCAGGGTCTCCCAAATGTCTGGTAATGAACCGAGCAAAAATATAACTTGTAGCTCTTCTTCTATGAACAATTTTATCATTGTGAGTTGGCTAACAATGTTTTACACTTCATTAAAGTGCTCTGCAATGGATCCCCCATCCCTGAACTTTATGTTCACCAAATTTGGGATCAAGAACGCCTTATTTTTTGCGGTCTTTCTCTCATGTAAGTCATGTACCTTATCCCACAAAGACTAGGTGGATGTCTCCGTCAACACAAGGTAGAACACGTTTTCATCCAACCATTGTCAGATAGTGCCGAGAGTCTTCCTCTTTAGTCTCTTCTACTCATCGTTTGTCATACCTTCAGGCTTGTGTCCTACCCCTTCAATGGGTGTATACAAGTCTTTACAGTACTAAAGATCTTCCATCTCTGACTTCCAAATGATCCAATTATTGAGCGATATCATCTTACTCTTAGTTTTGGAATTCATCTTTAATCCACATACATTGTCCTCCACACGCCTCTGTCCTATTCACTGGTTGTCAAGGAGATTCATCGTCTGTCAAGGATTCATCGGTAGTCAAGGATCTGTCATCTGTCAAGAATCTATTGTCTGTCAGGGATCTGTCAGTTATCAACTCCCACCAGCTACTAACTCATCAGCGATTAAGCTCCCATCGGATGTCAACCCCTCGACGGTCTTATATCCATTGTCGGTCAAGTATTTGTTGAGGATCAAGTATCCCTCAATAGTCAAGTACTCGTCGGCAGTCAAGCTCTCACCGGCTATCAAGGAGTCAATGTGAGTCATTGGTGGTCAAAGTGATTCACTGTTGGTCAAGATGGTGAACGACAGTTCATCAGTCAAGACCTTCTTTACATAGTGGCCACTCATCGAAAGTCTCTGATTAACAACGTGTCCCAAAACACTCCATTTGACAATTAAACATGATCTAGCTTATAAGGAGTTTTTTCTTCCTTGCTCGTCCTATGACAGTTAGGCTCGCTACAACGGCAAATGGTGATAGGGATGATCGAGCGGTGTATCTGAGTTAAAAGACACACGCTCTGATGGAAATTGTGCAATAAAGCAAATAACATAAATAAATGTACGTGTGTATGAGTGGAAATCGTACAATAAAGCAAATAAAATAAAAAATGATTTATTGGCACTGAGATTTATGTAGTTCACCTTTTCAAGCTACATTCACAGGAAAAATAGACCGATACACTATTAAAAGTAATAATTATTAAATCATCCAAAAAACAAGTTTTTTTGAGCTCTCTAACTTATTCTTCAAGACTTTCTCTCTGTAGATTTTCTCTCTCTAAGATTTTCTCTCTCAAAGGGTTCTTTTCTTTTCTAGAGACTCTCTTCTCTTTGAAAGAACATGTTCTCTCTTTCTCTCTGTAATACGTTTCTCTCTCTTCTTCTCCTATGTAAGAGAAGCCTTACTGTATTTGTATTTTTTTTCTCCTCCCAAGCTCTCTATAATTCTCTCTATAAATAAAGAGGCCCAACCCCAAGAAGAGAATCACGTTTTTTGGAAGTGAGAGAGAGAGTGATCCTTAGGCCTCTTAATGGGACTCCGTTTTTTGTGTGAGATATATTTGTTTTCCATAATCTCTCCCTACTCTCATGTTGAGTCTATCTCTCAACTTATTCTCATTAAGTGGTTATCCACTCCAACACATTGATAGATATTCACATCTTGCGCTGGATGAGCAAAATGCGGAAGTCCTCCCACATGGGACGAACTTTTTTGGTACAAGACGCAAGGATGTGAAAGAACAAACAAACAATTTCCTAAGTAGATATAAAATAGGTTTGAGGACCATCATTGGGATTTCCAGCACTTGAACAGCATCCTTGAGCATTAATTCATGGTGGGCTATACTTTGATTATTTAAACTTTAAAGTACCAACCTTATTTTAAATGGTAAGGAGTTTAGTAAATTAAGGGGTGATAGAAGAGTCCAATTGGCATACATATTAAACTACCATTAATAAATGGGGTCCAGTTGACATACGGATGCATTCGTAGCACTAGAGATAAAGTGCACCTTTAAATTTTATCATGGTATATAATTTTGATGTAAATTTTTTTAAGATTATCTCAAAATCTATTTTTATATCTAATTATAAAATTTTAAATTTAAAAAATAATTAAAATCAAGTAGATCTATAAATATATGAAATCTTGAAAATGAGCGGTGTAGATAATATGTTATAAAATGCATTGTGTTTTAGACTTAAAATCTTTTTATTTTTCATGGTCATACATCTCGATGTCCACATCAAGATGATCAATAAAATGGTTTTTCAACATTAAAACTACCTTTTCTAATGGATTTTTTGAGATGCATCCCTAGTTCTACATTATAAAAGTTGCATCCTTATATAGACTTTTTCTTTAATAAATAGAAATGTATAAAATAATAAACGAAAATGTATATAATCTTTAATGTGCCAGTCTCATTCTTGTCCGTGCTTTTTGCGTGAAGACATCTCTCTCTCCTCTCGTCTCTTCTGTATTATAATGTGACTTTATGTACTTGAAGACCAAAACTTGGCAGTGGCAGCGTTACGAATTCCAGAGAGGAAAACAAATGGAGAGAGACAAAGAGACCTCAAATTCCAATGAGTTCATGGCGTTACTGGTTCCGGATTTGATTCTTAAACAAATGCAGACCAAAATAACCCTCTTTCCTTTATTTCGGTTATAAATGCATCTGTTTTCTTTCCTTTGAGCCTGCATCTCTCCATCTCCATCTCCATCTCTGTCTCTCTCTCAGGCTTTCTTTCCATTGAGACTGCATCAAGCTCTTTCTCTGTCTCTCGGGCCTTAAATTGAAGATGGCGATGAAGATCTCGCCTTCTCGACTGCCGCAGCACCCAACTGTAAGCACTCAACGAACAAGTCCTGGATCTGCTAGATTTCTCTTGAGAACTGCTGCACTCCGGTCCAAGTAATCCTCTCTCTCTCTCTCTCTCTCTCTCTCTCTCGTACGTACTACTACTCTCTCTCTCTCTCTCTCTCTCTACTACTACTACTACTACGTACGTACGTACGTACGTACGTACGTACGTACGTACGTACGTACGTACGTTACGTACGTACGTACGTACGTACGTACGTACGTACGTACGTAACGTAACG